TCTCACTACTACATCAGGTGAGGGGCTTTTATTTACTCACTTATAGCCAGATGATTGCATTAATACAGAAACTACGTTGTTAAAGTTAAACTTTAAAAAGACAAAATAAGGCAAAACTAAATCCTATGCTGCTTAGTGTCCAGCGGCATAGGATTACAAAGCAAATGTTGGAAGTAGGATATTATTTGGAGCATTATAATTAATTATGTTCCATTTATTGTGTCCCCCAGCACCTCGTACCGCTCCTACCTGCTGGACGATCAGGTCCACGGCCGAGCGGACCTAGGGGGTCTGATCAAAGCTCTGCAGACCGGCTGCCGCTGCATCGAGCTGGGAGTCACCGACGGCCCAGAGGGAGAGCCTCTCCTGGGGGTGGATTATGGTCCAGACATCTCCCGCCACCATCACCACCACCACCACCACCACCAGCACCACCAGCACACCCCAGTCACCGTGCGCTCTGCTCTGGAAGTAGTCAACAAATACGCCTTCCTGTCCTCCCAGTTCCCCCTGCTGCTCTACCTGTGCCAGCGCTGCTCTCCGGGACAACAGCGCACCTTAGCTCAGCATTTAAAGAAAGTCTTCAGCTCCCGTCTTTACACCCCGGAGACTTTTCCTGCCAGCCTGGGGGGCCGAGCCACAACCTTACCCTCCCCCGAGCAGCTGAAGGGGCGCATCCTCATCGTGGGGAAGAAGCTGCCTCAGGAGCAGGACGCGTCTGAAGGGGAGATATCTGAAGAGGACGAGGAGATCGGAGGAGGGGGTCCTCTGGCTGGACGAAGAATGACCATCCCTGGTGAGGAGGAGCTGGGCGTCGTCTTGGTGGTGCCTCCTCCGTCCCAACCCAGGAAGCTCCGCCTCCACAAAGACCTGTCAGATTTAGTAGCGATCGCTCGTTCGGGAAGTCGCAGTTTCTACGCCCAGAGAGCCACCTACAAACCGCAGCAGTCTCCCCCCAGCAGCCCCTCTTCTCCTGGGACTCCTTCAGCTTCTGAGCCTCCTTGTTGGACGCTTTGCTCCCTGGGTGAAGGGGAAGGAGGGCGTCTGACCACCGAGAGCCCGGAGGACCTGGTGATGTTTACCAAGCGCACCCTGACCCGGGTACGACCCAGCTCTGTGCGCCTGGACTCCAGTAACCCCAACCCTCAGGGGTACTGGAAGGGAGGGGTCCAGCTGGTGGCGTTGAACCAGCAGACCCCCGGCGCCATGCTGGACCTCCACAGAGGACGCTTCTCTCAGAACGGAGGCTGTGGGTACGTCCTGCGCCCGGCTGTCATGAGGGACGAGGTGTCGTACTTCAGCGCTCACACACAGGGCTGCGTGCCGGGAGTGCCCGCTCAGACTCTGAGGATTAAGGTGAAGATATTTATATTTATATCCACTTTTCCACAGAAACCACATCCAGATTAAATCTACTAAATACAAATAGGACAGAGTAGATTATCTACGGACATTAAAAGACACACATAAACCGTAGTAAAAGAGTGGAAAGAGAAATATATCAAACCTTGAACAAGTTGCTATGTACAACTTGAGGAAAGGTCTTCAAACTTGGCACACATGTCCACTTGGACTCAAGGATGAACTGATTAGGTTTTGAAAGGTCAAAACATGGAGGTTAACTGCACCATTGGTTGGTATGTATGTAGCCATGAGGCATGTGATTCTGTTTTTTTTCTTTTTCACATAAGACTGCATACAATTCACAGAATGAAAACATCAGAAGTGCAACAGGAGAAGTCAAGAAGTCCCCTTTTGCGTAAGAAGAATGACAAACAATAACAAACAAGGACAAACATCATTTTGAAAAACACCTGAAGATCACCCGGTGTGTAGGAGAACACCAAAGGCTTCAACAATCAGGACAACATAATCAAACACTAATTTCTCTCCTTGAAACGTTGCTGTTATTATAACATATTAATGAGTGCAAGTGAAGAGCCTGTAGTGTGCGGGAGTCTTTTGTTCTGCAGAAAATCAACAAACAAGCACTCTACATGAGGAGAACAACTGACTCTAATCAGGAGACAACAGCCAAATAAAAACAAAGACATGCATGAACAATCGCCAATTATCCCAGTCTTTCATCCAAGTGTGCATGTGTTCACACACACACACACACACACACACACACACACACACACACACACACACACACACACACACACACAGATTCATGAACCATGGTGACACTCATTATGTATCAGAATCAGGTTTATTACCAGGTAGGTTGACACGTACGAGGAATTTGACTTGGTGTCACTTAATAGACCCTCCAAAAAACCGCGGGCTAAAATCCTTGATTATGCGATTAAACATATGCGGGGTTTTTATGTGATTTTATGCGGTGACATTGCGCGAAGTTGTGAAAAAGAATAGATTTTTTTTTAAATATTGGGCTGTCTTATTTATTCTCTCTCACACACAACCTGCCACTAACGTTAAACCCCTTTCCTATTCAATTAAACACATTCAATGTTTATTTATTGTAAAAGCAATTGGGCTATTTTAATCACTCT